CTGCACTCCAGTCTGGGTGACAGAGTGAGACTCCAACTCAAAAAAAAAAAAAAATGTATGTGTTCCTGCTAAAGAGCAAGTGAATGATACTAGGATGTGGAATTCTAGAATGTGCATCCGCAGTGTCCTCGGGAAGCCAGGGAGAGGCCCCTTCAGGACACAACAGCCTGTCTTGGGATCGGAAGGCTGGACAGGACCCAGGAGACTGGTGGGGCTGGAACTGCTTCTGTGACTCACCCAGGTTCTTCCACCTCCCTGTGGGGACATTGTGCACAAAGCAACTTTAGTTCTCCTTGCTCTGGAGCTCTCAGACCCAGGCCTCAGGAGTGCTCTTGCCACACGCTGCTTGTTGCCGCTCCAGGCTGCTGCCGCACCTTCAGGGCTGACGGGTACAGACGTGGCCCCTGCGGGAGTAAGCCATCCTGATGTGTCCACACCAGGGACTTGGACTCTGCACCAGGCAGGGTGGCCCCAGCCCCTTGGGAAGCAGCACGTCTCGCCCTGACTGTGCACTGTGGCTGATGCTGGCTTCTTGTCTGCTCCTCAGACCAGCCACATGCTGCCCGTAAGGCATGGGGCCAGGGGCGTGCCTGCATGGGTGTGGCCAGGTGCCACTGGACAGTGTGCCAGAGAATCCTGCTGCTGGCTGCACCCACTTGCCTGCCAGTAGAGAGCAAGGGAATGCGTTAAGGACGAGAAGGCCCTTGAGAGCTGCCAGGACAGCCCAGGACCTCAGTTTTTTTTTAATGTTCATTAAAGAAAAAAAAAAAATCTCGATTTTTTTTTTTTTCCCCCCCCGCTGAATGTGGGGAAGATTCCCCCACACATCTTGCTGGTGCTACCAGAAGGTCATCGCCTTCCTCATGCATGTTCCCAGAAAGCAGTGTGACGTAGACGTCCTGGGGACAGCTCGTGTCGCAAGGGTCCTGGTGGGATAAGCTGGGAGGGCCTGGCACAGGCTCTGCCAGAGCCATGCAGTGCCGTGGATGAAGGGTCCTTGCGGTCCGGGCTCCCCATGAAGTCAGAGGTGGCTGTGTCTGGTGTGCGCATGCTTCTGTCTCCTCCCTGCCGTTAGCTGTGACTGGAGACTGCCCATGGGCAGAGTGTCGGGAGTGCGTGTGGGAAGGTTCTGCTGCTGCCCGCTGAGTCTTGAAGATTGGACCTCAGGGCCGCTGAGTGGTCTCTGCTCTGTTTTTCTGCAGAGAGCAGAAAGCGCCCTTGGGTTTTTACCTGCAGTCTCGTGTTGTTCACGTCTCCCATCCCCAGGGCCCCTGGGGTCCTGGGCTGTCCTGGCAGCTCTCAAGGCCCTTCCCTCCCTTAACTCATTCCCTTGCTCTCTACTGGCAGGCAAGTGGGTGTGGACTCGGATGAACCCTTCAGGTGTCAAGCCCACTCCAAGGTCTGGCTTTTCAGTAGCCATGGCGCCAAATCACCAGGCGCTGCTCTTCGGAGGTGTCTGTGACGAGGAAGAGGAGGAGAGCCTGGAGGGAGACTTCCTCAATGACCTGTACTTCTATGATGGCTCGAAGAACCGCTGGTTTGCGGGACACCTGAAGGTGGGGCTGCCTTGAGCATGTGCACTGTAGTGCGTGACCCCTATGGGGTCGCAGTGTCTGGCCTCTGATGACCATGAGCCCATTGGAGGGGTGTTCTTATGTCTGTGTGGCCTGGGTGACTAGGCCTGGAAGCCCTTGCTTATGGCGTTACCCCAACCCCCGGCCTGTCCTGGGTGCCAGTGCTGCTGTTGTCTGGTCAGTTACTGGCCTGGTCCATCACTGGTCAGGGAGCCGCCCAGGGCCATCCAGGTCCCTGTCTGAGGAGGGGTTGTGAGAGCTTCTGGTAGAGCTGTGCCTCTGTGGCACTTGAGCTTGGCCTTGGTCTCCTGTCACCATCTTTACTGTCCTTGTAGGCACTAGCTATTGACTGAGGCCAGCCTGATGCAGACACAATAGCAGTGACAGTGCTGGAAAGGGGACCTCCCCGGTCAGCTCTGGAGTCTGCGTGGCTGTATCACACCAGCCAGACTCAGAGTGGGCCCATGGCCAAGGAAGTTCGTCCAGATTCATGGCTGAGTGTCGTGGCACCTCTGGTGGATCCGGTGGACATGCAGGCTCCTGTGTGAACTTATTCCTCTGTGCTTTTCCTCATGGATGGAATTGCTCCAGACATAGACTATGCCAGTCTCTCCTGTGGCTTTTCAGAGAGGTTGAGCCCTGTAGGAGAGTGCTGCTGTGGTTCTCAAGCTTCTTGATCTCGGGACCCTAGGGCGCCTTCTGTATGGTGACTTTGTTGCAGTTTCAGATGCAAGGCAGGTACAGGAGTGCCCAAATGTGGATCTGACTCCAGGGTGACCTGGGGGACATGATCATTGCCAAACATGAAAATCACTTGGTGGATGTCTTTTTGTATGGTGGCAGCATTCTGTGAGATGGTGAAGGTGGTGATGGAAGGGTCCAGACTTGCCCTGCGATGCAGCCAGGGATGTGGACAGAGAGGGATGGCCTAACCCGAGAATGCATAGGGGAAATGGTGACGAGGCCCCTCTCTGGCCTCTTTGTCATGAATCAACCTGATTAGGGTCCTAACTCCACCGTGCCATTGCCACAGGGTGGGAGACCTGGGAATGCCGTTGGTATTTCTAGCCGCCCAGGAACCGGTGCCTGTGGACTGGGTTTCCAGGATGAGCCTCGGTCAACCAGGGGTCTGGTGGGCTTGCTTGCCTCCTGGCGCAGGTGTGGAGTGCTGCCTTGGGTGACTGGTTAGTGTGGTGACATTGTCCTATAGAGTGTGAGCCCCACCTGGGGTGACTAGTTAGCGTGGTGACCTCCTGTGGAGTGTGGAGTGCTGCCCAAGGTGACAAGTTAACGTGTCCTCCTATGGAGTGTGAACCCTGCCCGGGGTGACTAGTTAGCGTGGTGACCTTCTCTTGTGAGCCCCGCCCAGGGTGACTAGCTAATGTGGTGTCCTCCTCCTGTGGAGTGTAAACCCTGTGCAGGGTGACTAGTTAGCATGGTGACCTACTCTGTGGAGTGTGGGCCCCACTCAGTGGTGACACTGTTTCTGGCAGGAGGCCAGTTGTGTTTCCTCAGGTCCTGTGTGTGGCCACCAAGGCAATGCAGTGCACTGTCCTCGTTATGTGCTCCCCTTGTCTGTGGCTCCTGTCCCCACATCCCACTTTGCCCCATGTGTGTGCAGGGCTGTTCATGTCCCTGAAGCACTCTGTTCTTATTTTGTATCCAGGGACCCAAATCGGAGAGGAGGAGGCGTCGGCGGGGCAAGAAAGAGGAGCCAGAGACTGCAGGCCAGCAGGCGCAGGGGGGTGCCCCGGAGCCCCAGGAGGTGGTCCAAGAGGTGGTGGCCGAGGATGGGACCGTGGTCACCATTAAGCAGGTGCTCACCACTCCAGGCCCGGTGGAACAGCCTCCGTCCGAGGACGAAGACGGTGCCGAGGATGCCAGCGACCCCGTGGTGGAGCCGTGTCCTCGCTCCAATGCCATGCTGGCTGTGAAGCATGGGGTGCTCTATGTCTACGGGGGCATGTTTGAGGCTGGCGATCGCCAGGTCACCCTCAGTGACCTGTACTGCCTCGACCTCCACAAGATGGAGGAGTGGAAGGCCGTGGTGGAGACGGATCCAGGTAAGCCAGTGTGTGTAATGGGCCAGAGCCCCAGCCGTGTGTTGTGCCATCTGAGAGCCTCACAAGTGCCTTGCCTTGCCCTGGATGGTGTCCTGCCTCCATGGCTAGATGGACATCAGGCAGCAGCCCGTCATGGCACGGGGGCCCATCTGGGCTCATCCTCCTTGTCTAGGAACTAATGGGTGCGGGTTCTCGGTGGAGCAGGATGCTGACACCCACCTCTGTCTGCAGGCTGGCATGTGCCGTGTCTTTATGGCCCAGGCTGGCCCCAGCCTGTGCTCCACTCCTTCAGTCCCATCCCAGTTTATCCCAGCTGCTGCTGGACTCGAGTCACGGCCTGAGTTCTAAGATCTGAGACTAAAGATAAAGCACTCCCCTTTCTTGCCCCGGAGAACAGCCACCAGTGATGGGTAGAGCATGGCAGCAGGTGGGCCTGGCCGGCGCCCCTCAGGGGTGTGCCCTTGCCACCTCTGGTCTCTGCCCCGAAGTCCAGGGCCATGCAGTCTGTTTCCCTTGCTGGTCCAGAGGTGTCTGGGGCAGGGGAATAAGGGACCACAGCGCTGCTGGGAGGACGACTGCCTTTCCGCAGCGTCCTCAGGCCTGCTGCACCACACTAAACTGTGTTTGCTTCTGAAGATGCGCAGGAGTGGCTGGAGGAGTCAGACTCGGATGAGGACAGCGAGGTCGAGGGCGCCGAGGGCGGAGGTGAGGACGAGGACCATGACGGTGGTGATGACAGCAGTGAGGACAGCGGCGCAGAGAGCAGAGGTGAGCACGGTGGTGGGCAGGGTGGCTGCAGGTGGGGCCTGTGCACCTGAGCACAGCTCAGCCCAGGCTGCTCCCAGGGCTGCGGTTGGTGAAAGGCTTCACATTTTATCCAGTTTGTGTTGGGGTCTGACTTTGTCTTGTAGGTGTCCTGGCGAGCTGAAGCGCTTAGAGAGCCTTGGCGCCTGGAGCAGATGGACTGCTGCTGAGTGCAGGGCTTCTCTGATGCAGACCCAGGTGTCCTGCAATCCACCTGTGGGCCACTCCCTTGGCTGACTGTTTCTCTCGTCCCCATCTTCCTCCTGGGTGAGAACTCCAGCACTCGGAGCTGGTGCCACCCAGTGCTTTCTTCACTGTCTGCCGGCGACTAGGCCGCATCCGGTGGAGCTCGCCCAGGACAGCCTGGGGCCTGCCACCAAGAAGAGGAGAGTCCGAGCAGCAGCCCCGCCACAGCAGAGCTTTCTGTGTTGCCTTGGTCTAAGGCGTGGCCCTGGCCACCACACATGAAAGCAGCATGGTCTCACTCGCTCAGCCTCACTGTGTATTGCTTATAATAAATCAGACGTGAGCTGAGACACTGCGAGGGTTGTCTTCTGTGCAGTCCTCAGGTCCCTGCGGTCTGGGTGGGGCCTCTGTGCCAGCCAGGGCATGGAGCAGCCCTGGTCCCTGCCAGGCTGGGGTGAGGCCACCACAGACGGGAGGGCAAGACCGTGAGCATGAAGGCCTCTCAGGAAGCATGTTTCCATCCTGGGACACCGGGATGCATAGGGCGCAGTGGGGCTTTCCTTCTACAAACAGGATGAGCATTCTGACCACACTTATCACACTGAAAGTCGTTCCTTTGACATCTAAAAATGACCAAAAGGTGGTCTTTTGGGGCTTGTGCACACGGCCCTGGTTCTCTTTAAGGGAGGGCTGGCTGGCCGCTCTGTGCTGTGTGTCCCCCGACAGGAAGCTCTTGGTGGTGCAGCTGGGACCTGGGCTCTCTCACTGCGGTATGGCCTTCGGGGGGAGGTGGTGGGGCCACCTCCTTTGCCTCTTGAGCTCAGGGTTGGCACTTGCAAAGTGACAGGAAGGGCAGCTAAAGGGAAGGCCCTTCGCCATCCCTACGTGGCCCCCACGTGGTGTCCCTGTCCAGCCTCCTGGCTCTGAGCAGCAGCTCCCTTGCCAGAGGCCTGTGGTGTGCTGACAGCTGGCAGTGCCTGCTCAGTCTCACCCTGGAGGACCACCTCGTTTGCTTAATTGGCTCAGGAGGTGAGCCTTGGACACATACTGGAGCACGTCTCTCTCGTTCAACTTCAGTATCTGACCAGCAGGAGTTTGGGGTTCTTCCTTTTCTCTTTTTGGGTCAGCACAGCCACTGCCATCCCATCTCCACCTGGGCATCACAGCATGGGAAGCCCTCCCTTGGGCACGGCCAGCCTTGGCCAGTGGGAGCTGTGATGGAAAGGATGAGAAGCTGACTTGCAGGGTGCACCCCTGGCCCCTCAGCTGTGTGTTCTCCCAGTGCCGGCTTGGCCAGAGAAAGCTGGATCCCAGGAACAGAGGCTTCAGGGGTGCAAACTCTGTGACTTGCCTCACAGCGGCATGTGCCCAGCTCCCCTGGGTACAGCCCACCATCCGGGAAGGCTCAGTGGGCGTTGGTGGGTGGCACTGAAGCTGCCCAGACCCCACCCCTCCTGTTGATGTGACCTCATTTGACTTCCTACTGGACTGGAGAGCTGACCTGACACAGGCTCTGTCACTGCCTCTGCGGTCCTCCTGCCTGTTGTCTGCACGCTGGTGGTGCACACGGGGAAACCCTCCAGTAAGGCTGCCGAGCACTGCTTGTTTCCGGAGGCAGAGCCAGCCTTGGGGTCGGCTGGGGCTGCATGTGCAGCCTGTAGGGTCAGCAGGGCTACCTGACCTCAGCCTTGTGTGCGCCCTGAATGCTGGACACTTGGTCTTTTTCCAGCATCCTGGGCTGAACTGGCTGGAAGGTCCATGGCAGGTAGAGAGGCTGGAGTGAAGGCAGCCACGTCCGTGGTGTCGCTAGGCCCAGGCCTACAGGTTCTGGCTGGCCTCCCTGCCCACCCCACCCTGTCCCACCGATAACCCGGGTGGTGTGGCCACTTTGTTCTCCCTTCTGCTCTTGGTGGACGTGAGTGGAAGTTCTCGTCGGCTCAGTGCCTTCGTTTCTCATCAAAGACCACCTTCCTTCAGAGAGGGCTATGACCACATGGGACTTGAAGGAAGAAGATGCCTTTGCATCAGTGAAGTTGAACGAGAAATGATGAAAGTCCCAAAGAGGAAACCTCTGGTATGCTTTCTGTGTGGGAAGTGGTGTTCTGTCCATGAGGTTATTCCTAAAGATTTGGTTTTCATGAAAGAGGGTGATCAGAACTCAAAAGGATTAAATAAACAGGCTTTTTTTGCAGGGAGCAGCATCTGCTGGACTTGCTGTGATTATGATGCCACTCAGGCACCCCTAAATATGGAACCATGGGGGGCAGGGCCATGTATGGGATGGGGTCGCCCTCAGAATACCTCTGTGCTGCTCTGTCTGCCAGAGGCTGACACGTGAGACTAATGCACTTGGTGCTCAGACAGCTACCACAGTCACCCATGGCTGGCCTCCGTTCCCCTGAACCACTGGGTAAGGCTGTGTTCAGAATCTGCCAAGGGAGCGCACGACAGGACACTGCGTTCTTGCCTGGCTCTGTGCTGTGGCAAGCTGCTTGCTGGGTGAAGCCTTCCTCTGGACAGCCCTGCCCCTTCCTGCCCCATGGCCCCTGTGGACACCAGCTGTGGGGAGGGGGGGCCAGGTGAGGAAGAAGCCTGCCAGCAGGCCACAGCTCCCGAGGGCTCGTGAGTTGTCTGTGGGTCACCCAGCTCTCCATCCTCCTGGCTTCCATGGGCAGCTAAACTGGCTGTGTTGACTGCACTGTGTTGCCATGGATGTAGGGTGAGTGGCCAAGGCAGTGGGCTTCTTGGAATTGGGTTGGATTGGATGAAAATCAAGGGAACCAGTCATTGGGCTTGGAAATCCTTGTAGTGTAAAGCTGTTTTTGTTGTTTGTTTTAGATGTTGACAGCACTGTTTGTTGCAGTTTGACATCTTCTGATTTTTTTTTTAACTGAATTGATACAAGCAGGAAGTCTCCGAGCAGGTGACAATTAGAAATTCATCACGCTGCCAAATACTAGAAGCAGCCTGTTGGTGAGAGATGCCCACTCCAGTAGGTGGCCAGGGGTTGCAGGGAGCTTCTGCCCATGTGAGGGAGGGGCCGGTACATGAGAGTCCCAGTAGCTGAGAGCCATCCTGGACCCCCAGTCATATGGACCCTGTCCAGGGAGGGCAGCTGTTCCCAGCCCAATGGGAGAATGACCGGGCGCTCACACAGTTTGGCATCTGTCTGCCATTCATGTGCGTAGTTAAGGAACCTTCTAGTGACTCCATTCCCAGGAGGTTAAAGTTGGGAAGCAAGGCTGGGGAAGCCGCTGGCCACTGGTCAGTCTGGTTTTATGAGCTCAGGTGTCTCCCAGCACGGATTGCAGCCCCCTTTGTTTTGTGCAACAAGAGCTGCAGTGGTGCCATCTATGCAGGCCATGCCTGGTCACTGGGGCTCTGACCATTGTGTCCCGAGCACATGTGCAGTCCCTGCAGGATGCTGGCACACCTATCACGGCTGATGGCCATGGTGCAGGGACCGAGATGACCCAGCTTCCCCGAGGCCAGCCCCAGGCCCCACGGGCTGCAGACTCCCCAGGAGGCTGCCTACGGGCTGCCTACGGGCTGCCTACTAGGTGCTGAGCACCCATGGGAACCTAGGGCTGGAGTTTAAGGAAGCTACATGCTAGACCATGTCGTGGGGTCCTCGTGGGCAGAGCCTGCTGCTCTGGTTCCTTTTGTGTCCTCTGTCACTCACTGTGTGGCAGACAAAGGGCTGTGCTGCCTGTCCTGCAGGGAGGCCCCCACGTGAGAGACCCAGGCCAGGGAGTATGCCACAGCCACCACTTGGTGAGTGATGGCAATGTCTGATTGCACGGAAATGCAGGCACAGGCACGCCGGCAGCTGGTTCAGATGGCGTTCAGGGTGCTTTTCCTGCTCGCAACATCCAGAGCCTCAAGTGTTACCAAGGGCTACTGCCGGGCGGCACGCTGAGCTCCTCAGGAAGGTCGCACATGCCCGCTCGTGGCTCTGGCAGCAAGAGAGACTGGAGTGGAGACGCGGGTTATGAACAAGCGAGCCAGCTCTCCTGAGTGGATGATGCTGCTGCTTACCAGGTGAAATACATAGTCACGCTATGGTTATATTCATTACGGAAGATGCTTTCATTTCTGTTTTCTAAGTAACCAAGCTATTTTTCCACCTAAAAGAACAGAAGAAACGCCAAGTCACTTCATTGATAGGAAAAGTCAGAATATGGTTGTCATTCCCTTTTTGTCAATGTACCCAGTGACTGCTCTACTAGGGCTCGGTCCACGTGTACCAGGGGAAGGTGAGAGGTGTGCAGGAGGATCCCCAGAGCCTCCCAGGAGGGCTCGGTGAGGGATGGCCTCATGGTGTGGGTGGGGCAGGTTCATGTGGCCACCTCAGTGGCTAGAGCAGGCCAGCCAGGCCCTGTGGGAGGGCACATCCTTGGGTGTGGTGTGCGGTGCAGAGCAGAGTCTAGCTGGAGAAGTCAAGGCTAGCTCGGCTTGAGGGCTGGCAGTGGGCGGGGCATCTTGTTCATGTGAGCTGCTGCTCGTGCTCAGCATGCCCCAGACTGTGTCGGCTGCAGGGCTGTGCCCTGACCTCAGGGCTGGGGAGTGTGGCCATCACTTTCCCACAGAGCTATGCTCCGTAGGGGTAGCTCACTCAGGGCCATGTGGGAGAGGTAGGGACGGGCCTCAGCCAGGGGCTGGGCCCCAGCAGAAGGGCTGGGCATGCCCCGTGCCCTCATACCTGTCTCTCTTCAGCCTGATCCCAAAGTCAGGGAAGCCCCCAGGGTAAAGGATACCAGCCCACCTTGCTGACCAGTGCTGCCTTTTCCTAGAGCAAGGGTGGTCCAGGAAGTCCCCGGGTGGAGATGAATTGATTGGTCTGAGCCCATGAGCCGTGCACATGCTGTCACCTGGTAGGGTTGAATCCAGCATCCGGGAACCCTTGGTCTGTTCCCATGCAGTCATGCAGGAAGCTCTGGGCCCCAAAGGCCAACCTGATCGTAGGGGACAGAACTTTCTCATGACCAGCCTCTGGCAGAGTCAAGGAGCAGACATGGTGTTGGCCTGTTCAAGGGGACAGCCCGGCTGCTGGTCTGACCTTAGTTGGATGATGACCAAGTTGAGTAGAACAGTCTTCCAACAGGTGCTGCCAACAGGGATGAGGAGGATGGGGGTCCCGCCAAGCCCCCGTCACTGCCACAGCCTGGGGTCGAGGCAGCTTCCTTGGTGTGGGCTGCGACTGTCCCCAGGCAGTGGTGGCATTGCTGGAGACCTGCACAGACACAGCAGGAAGGACAGTGGACAGGATTGAGTTCACGTGAGGACAGGTGGGCGGCCGGGCCCCCATGATGTGCGTGGCTGACCTAGGTGCCCGTCTCAGACCAGAAGTGAGGCTGGTGTGTAAAGGTGCCCTGCAGCCAACCCCAAGGCCTGGTGACCTGGGCCCCAGCGCCCAGATGTACTTTGGTCTGTCCCTGCAGGGTCTTCTGCTCCTTGGAGGCTTAAGATCAAGCTGGGAAGGGAGGTGGAGACCATGGTCATGTCAGGCGCTTCCACTTTGGATCCACAGAGACACGGGTTCTGGAAATGCATGTGTTCCTAGCTGGTGGCTCAAGTGGTGAGAACACCTGCCCACCCCCAGATAACTGCTCCCTGTCCTGGTTGTCACCTGCCCCTGGGCGCCGGCTGCGCCTCTGTGGCCTTCAGCCTGGGCACCACAAGGCAACGGTATTGCCTTGAGCCCGTGTGGCCCCCGGTCTGGTGCCACTCCGCCTTCTCAGACACCGCATGTTCTGTAGTTCACAGTTTCTAGGTGTCGGGATACTGTGTAAAAATAGTTTGGCTTTATTTTTTTAAAACAAAGGTAGCTGTACTTTTTCTTCTTTTTTAAGGCTGAGTTCTAGCAACACTTCTCAGCACGTGGAGACAGGTTTTCTCAGCCTCACTGCATTGACTGCGTTGCCTCATGTGACTGGGCCTGGGCCAGAGAACAAGGCTATGCGGACGTCCAAGTGGTTGACAGCTCTGCTCTCTGGGTCTTGGTCTAGAGTCTCGGTCCTGTCACTGAGGAGGCGGCAGATCCTCGCCCCAGGCGAGATTTAAGATGCCACGCCGAAGTGACAGTTGTGATGTTGACTCGGCATGCAATAGGAGGCCTATCCACAGTACCCAGGAAAGATAGTCACGTGGCATGTTCAGCTGTGGGAACACATCTTAACGCCACCAGCACCTTCAGATGACATTTCTGAGACTGACGGCAGGCGAGGCTGGCAAGAGAGGACACAGGGTAATCTAGAAATGGTGGATGGCCCTTCCCCTGCCCATCTGGAAAGGGTTTTACTGCGTCATGAAAATGGAAGGCACACTGTCCTGTGGAGGGTCTGGGGGACGTCAGAGGTCTTGGGTGGGTGGCCCAGAAACAGCCCAGGGACTGACACCTCAGAGAGCAGCTGGGGCCTTGGGGCCTCCCTCCACAGGTCCAGGTGGGTGGGAGATGGCTCGGAGAGATGACACTGGTGTAAGAATATTGGAGTTCTTGAAAGGACCACCCAAAACCCAGACTAAAGTCTGCACAAAACACCTTTCCTTTCTCCCCCCAGAGACACCCCATGGCAGGCCTGCAGCGCCTTGGGCTGATAGCCAACCACTCCGGTCCGGTGACTCTGGCACCATCTCCCTTGGATGGGGTGGCCGTGTGAATGTGCAGCCTGGGACCCTTAGCTAAAGGGAGCAGGTGTGGTCACAGCCAGGCCCTCCCGTGATGTGCATGGCTGACCTGGGTGCCTGTCTGGACCTGTGCCATGCCCCGAGGGAGGTAGCGGCTGGTGCCCCATGGCTGGCTTCATACCTGTCTGGGGATCTGGGTTAGTGCCTGCAGGGAGGAGCTCGCTACCTGTGAGGTGAGTGCTTGCTCACACCCACACACTGGGGCTTCCAAGGAAGAGTGTGTCTGGCTCTGGGGTGAGGCTGGGTCACCTAGGATGCCCATCAGGATACCCTCCCCCCGCCCATGGTCTAGGGAATAGGTGTCAACCTTGGCAGCTGCCCTGGCCTTCCTGTGCTGCCATCATCTTGTACGCTCCTCTGGTTTATGCAACAAGTGCCTGATCTGTCTTTGGGAACCAGTGTGCTAATGATAATGAGCTTTTGCCTCCAAGAGTGGAGGAAGAGAACTGCCCAGGTGCCCAAAGGTGCCCTGATAAACTTCCAAAGGCACAAGTCATCCCCGGTGCAGAGTCCTCACGTTTCTAAGTGACATGCATGGGGGCCTTCTCCAGCCTTGCGGTTTAGGGCCGAGTGTGGGTTTGCAAGAGTGGGAGCCGCAAGCCTGGGGCGGCGAGCTGCCCCCATCCCTGCTGTACCAGGCTATCAGCTCAAGAAGGCGCTTGCTCGCCTGCCTCCAGGTGCAAGCAGCAGCATGGAAGGGGACCAAGAGGCTGCTCTAAGTATGAAGCGAAGCTCGTCAGTGCTCCACGCGCTGTCCTGCTCTGACTGACCCCTGTGCACATCCCACTCAACGTGATGCATCTGCCAGGACCTCAAGGAGGGAAGTGGGGGTGGAGGGGGGTGCCTGGGAGGAGCGACTGGCACCTGTCAGGAAGGCGGATGAGGCTGCAAGGCTGTGGGTCTGGGGAGTGGCCTCTCGAATCGCCCGGTCTGGTGGCAGCTGGAGCCTTGCCCCTGGAGTCCCTGGGACCCAGTGCACGTCAGTCTTGGTTGCACCTGCTCGAAATGCCCTGGACTGGGGAGACGGCCCTACCCTCCGCACACATGTGGGGCTCAGCAGGCTCGAACTGGTGTTCTCAGCTGTGAAGCCAGCGGTACGGAGTCCCACAGTCTATGCGCAGGGCTCAGTTTTATGCCCTTTTGTGTGCATCTTGCGTTGCGTGTCAGTGTGCTTTCATGAGTGCCGGGTGCCTCGTGCCACGTGCTCACTGGCATGTGCAGCAGCCTGTGGTCTCTACAGACGGAATCACAAACAGACCCCAGCACGGGGGTTCTGGGCACTGCAAAGAGCAGGAGTCTATTTGGCTCACTTCAGGTCTGCAGTGACAACCTGAGAGTAAAAAGAGAATGGAGCGGGAAGAGGTACGAAAAGTTGGTGCTTCCCCTAGAACGCAGCGTGACCAGAAACGTATGTGCGGCCGACACCCTCCACGGTCCCCCAGACCAGGCTGACTGCTGGGGGGGCGGGACACGGAAAACAACAAAACGGAATTAACTGGAACATGCTCTAGTCTTTAGTTTATTTCTGGTTAAAAATATAGCAATCCAGTGCAGTGTAGTAAAGAAATCTGCTTGAAAGGTAGCAGAGAAACAGCTAGACATAAGCAAAGCAAGGCAGGGTCCATGGCGGCTGTACCCAGAAGACTGGACGGGGGCCGCTGGGCGCTCCCGGGTGCAGAGGCCTGCCATGGGCGTGCCCGGACCCCTCAGACACGCCCACACAAGGGCCGGGCCATGGGCGTGCGGACATCCTGGCAAACCTCGTTCTTGTGGGGTGATGGAATGACCCTGGTGGAGAAGGCAGAAACAGAAGGAGCCTGTTTTTGTTTGACCGAAACAAGGTACGTGGTACATTTGGGGAGAGATGTGGGATATGCTACGATTCTCTGGATGTCTCAAGTTTCAGCTGCTTTCCTGTCCCGGGACCAGGCCCGCTCTGGCAAGCGCTGAGGCATCTGGAAGGAATATGCATATCTGTTAGGGAAGTTGAGGCAGGCACGTACGAAAATGGGAAAACCCGTGGAGGTCAGTAACCACCAGGGAAGGGACCCTCACGGGCCCTCCCTGCCAGGGACACGGAAGCCTGCACCCACAGGCTGCACATGGTGCACAGATGCCATGTGCACGGGTCCAGGCATGGGGCGGCCGCCCCCGCATCGTGGCCCCGCCCCCCATGCCCGCAGCACAGCCCGCGGCTTCCCTGGGGTCTAGGAGGACAGCTGAGTGGGCACACAATGAGTGGACAACGGACAGTGGAAGAAATCGGGACTTGGCTTAAGACTCAGTGTGGGGAGTCGGCCTCCCGCGGAGGCCAGGGGCAGTGCCGAGAAGAGGGGCCACCGTCTGTTTCACGGGAAGAGAGGAGGAGGCCTGTCTCCCCTCTTCCTCAAGGTTGCAGCACAGGAAAGTAGAAAAAGGCCGCTGCTGCCGCCCGGGGGAGGGACACCCTGTCCCCCACGCCTCCCGCCATGCCTGTCACCGACTCCTCCAGACAGAGAGGAAGCAGTCATCGACCGTCCGCGTCTGACGGGAGCGGCACCCCCGTGCCTGGCGCTGTCCAGAAGTGTGATGACAATGACGAGGGTCCGTGCCGATTTGCCGGGATCCTCTCCTCCCCCCGTCGCGCTGGAGGGTCTGCGTGCTGGCCGCCTTCTGCCATGCCACACAGCAGAGTTGTACAAGCAAAGAATTTGGCTAAAATCCAAAAAACATCACCCAGAAAAAAAGGCAAACTGTGAGTGATATACCCAATCACGTTCTTCTGTGGAAAGACTTGGAGTTGGTGGACCGTCCGTGGCGGGACCGCTCCCTTTTGTCGTTTTGCTTTGAATGTTCCCTTTGTGGACACCGTTAACGTTTGCGATGGTGACAATCTCGTCAGATGAAAAAGTTAATAAACAAAATGGCAACTCCAATGTTGAGCAGGATCACCATGACCACCAGGATTGGCGCCGAGCCCTGGAACACACAGAGGAGAGGTGAGTTGCAGGCGGGGGTGACGCCATCCTGGCCGCCAGACTCGTGGTTCCGTGAGGGCGAGGGGCGTTTTAGAAGTGGCCAGACAGCACATGTGGGCCCTTCAGAACAGAAGCCCTTCGGTCCACAATGGGGCCACCTGCCCGCATGCCCGAGTCTCTCCCTGTGCCCTTGGGAAGAATCACCCAGGTCTCTCAGCGTCCCGGCACCTGCTTCATTTTGCTAATCAGCAGAGGCCCCGCTGCGCGGCACTGGGATTCGGGAGCACTGTAACTGGAGTCTGAGGGGCACCTCGGCTGCCACGGCCAGCGTCAGATGTGGGCCCTCACCCCCGCCTCCCCCGCAGCATGGCCCTGAACTCCAGCAGAGGCTCCCTGTCCTCGAGACACACCTGCCCATAAAACCCTCTTCCCGTACCCTGGGACTGCCCTGGGTGGCACTGTGCTGACTGCAGGCTGCCTTGGCCTCTGGTGGTCACCCCCCAGTGCTCCTGCAATGGCCTCTGCCCAGAGAAGCTGTACCGCCTCCACGGACCTGTGTGGGCCCCGGGCTCCCACTTCAGCCACGCAGCTCGGGCGCTGCTGTAGGGTTGTCCGCTGGCAAGGGTGAGAGGTGGCCTGGCCCTCTTGGTGGGCCTGGGAGGGTAGCTGGGAGTTCCCACCCCACAGGACAGTCGCTCCTGGATGCAAGGTGTTGGCACGACTGGTGAACAGGGTTGGAGCCTCCTGGAAGGTGGAATGGGGCACCCCTGCAGCCAGCCGTGGGTCGGCTCCCAAGAGGACTCCGGTCTTGACGCTCCTGCCATGCTCTGCTTCTAGTGACAGGTGGACATGACCCCACTGGGGAAAAGAGCCCCGTGTACCCAAGGCTGAGGCTGCCTGGTCCATACAGCCCCTCCCTCCCCAGAAGCAGAGATGACCTACTTCTGCACAGTGTAGACAGGGCTTGTCCTGAAGGTCTCAGGCCGCCCCATCCCTAGGGACAGCCCCCCCCCACAGGCTGACTTTCCACAGACTCCAAGGTCCCAAACAGCCCTTGTGTGTTCAGATCTCAAAGACATGACGGGCTGGCTTTCCCAGTTGAAGCAGATGCCCGTGTGTCAGGCGAGTCCCGTGCAGGCCTGAGGCAGCAGCCATGGCGGGAACCTGACGTGCCCCCTTGGGAGGAAACGCCTTCTCCCTGGGCTGCAACCGACTACCCCTCTTCAAGTGAGACACACACAGGCTGGTAGTTCCCCAAGACTAATAAGAAGTGCCCGTGACCCAGCAGCCCCCTCCTGGGTGTAGACCATGGGACACAAACTGCGTATCCCCCAAACATCATGCATGCTCACACGGCATGAGTCGGCACTGCCAGAGTGCAGGCATGCCAGGCGTCCACCCCAGGTGGCTGGGAAATGGCGTGGTCCCCACATGGGGCAGTGCTCAGCCCTGAGGAGCAATGGTCTGTCACATGCCTTAACACAGAGGAACCCTGAGCCCACATGGAGTGAGAGGCCAGGCACAAAGACCACACGCTGTGGGGTCCATTCACAGGAACTGTCCAGAACTGGCAAGCCTGTTCCTGTCCCTGAGGGAAGGAGAGGTGGGAGGGCGTGCCTTCCCAGAGGCCCTCAGTGGGGGGCCGCAGCATCACCAGCCAAAACCCCTCTTGGGCTTGCAGCCCCTTCGCCCGGCACAGGTGCTATACACACTCACTAAACAACCTCCTGTCTGGCCGCCCGCCAGTTGGCGGATGCTTTTGTCCCCTGTGTCAGGTTCATCCTGCTCCCTGGGCAGTGCCCCAGCTAAGTGACATTGCCACTCAGGTGCTAGGATCCTGAGCCAGCCTCTTCACTGGGCTGCAGGCCCCAGGGGGTCCCCTTCCCCTTGGGCAGGCTCCCACCCGTCCTCTTCCGAGTCTGGGACTCCTACAGCTGTAAGACCACCCCTCTTCCTATAGTCCATGCTGCTCACAGTGGCCCCGTCCATGGCGTGGTCACAGGGGCCTCGGACATGGGGCCAGGTCTGGCGTGCTCGCCTTTGTGAGGTTTCCCAGATGACCACCCGCTCACCTGCAACCCTGCCAGCAGGCCTCATTCTGCATGGTGGTAACGGGCAGGTGGTCCTGTGTGTCCTATACCAGGTCCAGGCAGTGGCATCACACGTGGACTTGACAACAAACAACCCAGTGAGTGCATCTAACGCCCCCAGTGCAGTGGGAGAAACAGAGCTCGAGCGTTAACACCTCTGAGACCAAGACCAGACTGGCCTGCCCCACCACAGGACTTTGCCCTGCCACCCTGGGCAGTGACCCCAACTTGCTGCCTGGGCCCTTCTAGCTACTTCCCCAGACCAGGGCAAGTCTTCAGGCTGGGATTGGGCCCTGCCTGCCCTGGGCACAAGGACTTGAGAAACCATTAAACAAAAAATCTGCTTAATAGACAAGCTGGACTCCAGTCAGCAGATGGACTTGGTGGAGGGAGAAGGGTCCGAGATGGCCAGGCAGCCATGTGCAGCTGCGGCAGCCCCTGCCCACCCCCTTTTGTCCTCCCAGCAGTGACTTGAGGGGCGGAAGTGGGGGTGTGGTAGCGCCAAGGTCAGCCCTCTCTCCTCTGTGCCTGGAAATCCCCTTGGGAGTGTGGAACACCCCTGGGTGCCCGTGGGGGACGGCAGCCTGAGCCCGGCTGCTTGGCAGTGCCATAGCCATGTGGGCACTGTGACTGTTCCTCTGACAGCTGGCCAGGCCAGCACCATGAGGGCAGAGAAAGGCCTCAGCAGCAGAGCGTCCAACAGCCGGACAGACAGGGCCCATGCCCCTCCCCCGCAAAGAAAGCCCCGCCCCAGCTGGAAGGAAGCCTCAGCACTGGGCTACCTGTGGGGAGGGACAGAGCTGAGGAGTGGTCAGCGGTGCCTTCTCCGTCATCCCCAGCCGAGCCTGGGGTTCCCAGCAGGGAGCAGGTGCTCCCACTCAGTCCTCAGGCTGCTGCGAGGACATGCCCTGCCTGGCCTGGGCCCCACCGCTTTCTTCAGCCACTGTGTCCTGCCAGCTGCCTGCTGGATGGTGTGTCCTGAGCCAGCCTCTTCACTGGGCCACCCAAACCCCTTCACGGCCCACAGGCCCCAAGGGGAGCCCCCTTTCTCTTGGACAGGCTCCCTCCCATCCTGGTCCCCACACACATGCTGACCCCAGCACCAGGTGACACCCATCATTTCTCTGAGAGGGAAACGGAGGCTTGGGAACTTCCAGTAGCCTCCAGGGCCACACGGTTCACTCACTAGCAGAGCTGCAGAGAGAACCCAGGTGTCCCCTCCACGAGGACCGCACTCTGAACTGCCAGGACCCCAAGTGGACCAGAGTCCTGGGCTTAGCCATGGCTAGCAGGTCCCAGGGCACTAGGCCTGCTCTTCCCACTGCCCACCCATGCCTTCCCTGTGGGGATGTGCTGTCCAGGCCACGAGCAGCCGCGGGAGGACCTCAGGTGATGGGGGGCGCAGATGAGTATGAGCCCCCCAGCTCTGTGGCACATGGCAGGGCTCCACCAGTTGCAGCCCACCACCCTGCTGGGGCGTCAGCCCCTGCTGCAAGCCTCACTAGCTGGGGGTGCAGGTGAGGCCCCAGAAGACAGCACCCACCCCTGCTGGCAGCTCGGGAGTTGTCACTGAGAACAGTGCCCACCAAAGGCCCAGCCACTGTCCCCTAATCTTGCTGGCTATTGCGGTCGCCTCCCAGACAGGACGACTGCTCTTCCACCCCCATCACGGACCCCCAGGGAGGGGTGACCAGTACCTTGTTTGCAGACAGTGTCTGGATGCGCCATAAGCCCCAGATACCCCCTCACCACCTCCAAGAGCACAACGGCCTCCTCTCAGATGGCATTCAGGCCACCAGCCCTAGCGGGCACTCAGGGACAGGCCCAGAGCACAGTGTTGGGTCTCTGAAAGCGACAGCACTGCCGGCCAGCTTCCACGCTCTCGTGTCGACCTGAGGGAGCGTCGTCTAAAGCACCCAAAGTGCCAGTGTGTCAGGAGGCTAAAAATAGAGCCGGCCCTCCTCTCCCACCCTGCTACCGCGGCCGTTCCTAAAATAGCCGCCACATGTCTCTGGCTGCCGCGCTGGAAGATGAAGTTTTACGTGCGGGCTGGAGTCCTGGTGCCAGCAAGGACAGTGGGGAGGGGGTGCTCTCTGTGGGTATTCAGGGGAGGGGGGTGTCTTAGCATCTTAGGACCCAGACAACAGTGATGCCATGACTCCCGGGCATGGCACAGGCTGAGGAGGCCGTGGCTCCCCCGGCAGAGGGTGGGAACAGTTGCTTACCACAGCACCGAGGCTAGACCTACTGAGGTCCCTCCTGCCTGCACCCAGATGTGGGGCGTGACTGGGCCATAGCAGGGGTGTGGAGCCCCACTAGGCTGGCCCTGCCCGTGCCTGGGCCCCCAGCCCTTCCATCCCGAGTCCTTCTGTCAAGGGAGTGGAGCGCTTCTGGGCTGACGGGTGGGAGCCATGGGGGCAGGGTCCCCTCTGGGTGTCATTGCGCCGTGCAGACCCCAGGCCTGCAGCTCTGAGTGTGGCCAAAGCGGGCTGCTCATTCCTCCAGCCCTTAGGATGGGGCTGTCGGTGAGCTTAAGTGAGTCTCCCCAGGGCACGCACGACAAGTCTAGACACCACCCCTGTGCCCCAGCTGCCAGGCCCTGCAGTCCTCCCAGGACACAGGACACTCAAAAGCCGTGACGGCGACGGCTGAAAGTAATAGGACCTCGGCCCAGGAGCGGCCGAGGCTGAGTGATTTGGGAAGCTTCTGAACACCCCCATGCCCCCACGTGCTACAGCCAGGAGTGGCCCTCTCGGATGTGTCTGCAGGCAGCATGACCCCCACCTGGCTTCCTGAGGGGAGGGCCCCCTGCCATCGCCTGAGAGCCACCCTCCTGGCTGTACCCCGCACCCCTGCAGCGACAAGCGGAGTGGAGCCCTGGACGGAGAGCCTGGTGGTGAGGGCACAGGGAGACAGGACCCGACCCCGCCAGCTGCTGCCACTCACCGTGCTGGCCTTGAGCTCGTCCACGGTCTCCTCGTCGGACTCCAGCGCCACAGGCAGGGACTTCTGGGGCGGGGAGAAGGTCAGGTCCCAGCGCAGCAGCCGGGGCTCGGCGCGGCCCCCCAGCCGCAGGCTGTCCAGTTTCTGCACCGCGGGCTCTGTGGAGGAGGCCGGCCGGAGGCTCTCCTTGTTCTGGGACTTGGCCCTCAGTCTCTGCGCCCCGAAGCCCCGGTCCTCGGCACGGTGGTCCTCCGCGGCCCGGCCGGCGCCACCCTTGCCGTAGCGCCTCTTCTGGAGGTGCGCCTCTTGCGTGTAGGCATCCCTACGCAGCAGCGGCTTCATCTCCATCTTGTAGTTGC